GGATATTTTTTATATTGCCATAAATGCAATATTGTCCTAGACACAAAGTGATTAAATATATTATCTTATCTACTATACTAGTAAACATTTAAATCCTTCTGAGCATAACTATATAATGACTAAAAAAGAAGCCTTGGGCCTAGTTTATGCATTAAAAAAATTTAAACATTATCTTTTAGCAACAAAAGTAGTTATCTTTGCTGGCCATGAGGCTCTTTTATATCTTATTAACAAGTTATGCATATTCGCTCAACTAACTAAATGGTTTTACTATTACAAAAATATAATCTTGAAATAATACATAGATCTACAAAACTTTTATGAATAAGATGATTGCCTAAGCCATATCACTATAGGAGAGTCACCTAATACTAAAATAGATAAACTCTCAGATGCTTACTTATTTATAATTTCTATGCCTACCACTCAATTGGAAGATATATAAATTTATCTTTTTACATGCACTACTATCTCACCATACTTTGTCAAAGAAAAAGAAGTTGTTTGTCTTAAGCATACGACTTTACTTTATCATGGGGGAAGTGATGAGGACACAAATAGACAACACTAAGCGAACAATAGATGCCGAAGTTGTGAAAGAAATTTCACAACTTAGGCCACAAAATCCAACATATTATATACCTACAAATGTTGCAAAACTATTGGTTGTAGATATAGTCAATGAAGTGAGTTTAGGAAGATCACAACCAAAAAACTTAACAAAACAAAGAGGACAAGGCTACAAAAGAGGGTCTAGGTGAATTAGAGGAGTATGGGTTGAGTTTTCTCTGGTCCACCTATGCATTTGACAATGACACACCCTCAACCAAACAGTCTAGCGAGACAAGGCAGCCACAATAGTAGCAGATGCCACAGCAGCACAACAAGGTCAAGGCTAGCCATGCCTTCACACACAAGTCTGCGAGTTAGCCTAGTGAGCTAGTAGTCCGAAGCTTATAGGAGGAGCTCACTCAACACATCAAGAGGAGTAGCCAAGTAGCAAATCAACAAGCTGATGCAGCCATTAGAAGATGAAGAAATAGCCAAATACCATGTGTAGGTCTTGAGCTACCTCAAGACAATCACCAAGAAAGTGGATAGAGTCATGAGCAAGTAAAATCATCAATGCCATATAATTCAAGAACTCAAGAGTGCAATCCCAGCTTCCACATCCACCAATGTAGAGTGCATCAGCCACGAAAATCAACATATTGCACTGCTTGATCAGGAAAATTAGATCATATGTCAAGAATTTGACGATCTATGCTAAAGTGTTGAGCTTATCACTATGAAAACCAACCTAGAGCAGGATTTGGAAAATTTGATTGTCTGAGGACAGGTAGTAGCTTTATTGTGGGAAAGTCATAAAGAGGTAAATGTTTTATTTTTATATCTTCCTAAGCAGAGCAAAAGAAAAAAGCTTAAGCAAAATGGAGTTACATATAAATTTAGCATTCAAAGAAGAAAGCATTGCTCATCATAAACAAGCAAGAAAAAGTTAAAAATGGTTATGTAGTATATAAGTAACACTTAGACGTGTTGAAAAACAACCACCATTTACTATTGTATGCATTTGTATTGAATTAACCATCTTTTTTCTCGCCTATGACTATTTGTGCAAAATAAAATTAAGTGATATATATTTATCCTTACTCACGCCTTTAAAGTTTGAGACTACGTTTTATTCTCTATTCTATTCTTTTTTCTCTTCTTCTCTTCTTTACGTTCTTGTCTCTAATTTTTTTATTACTATTTTGTAAGTAAAGGCAAGAACATGAGTATAGGCAAAAAAAACCTTACTCAGAAGACGAATTCATCTATTACTGTGATATCCTTCCTGCAAATGCTTCCCAGAATAGGAAGAAAGATTTCCTGAAGTTCCTGGATGTTCTCTCCTGCGCAATCCCAGTGAATCTAGTGTTCCACTATGCGAGCAGCCGCTACCATGGCATGGATAACCCCCTACTGGGTGGAGGCACATTTCGTGGGACTTGGATTCTGGATCCAAAGTGCACCATGATCATGTCAAACCCGAAAAGGTGCAAAGCAGTTGCAAGTTCAAACAAACTCAACCAGATCCAAAATTTATCAAACCTGATCTGAAATCGATGTACTTCCAACTATTTTTCTCTTAGTAGTGTGGTCTAATTTGCTGCATACAGACGAAGTGAAAATCAATGAAAAAATGCATGGCTATTTGGCATTCTTGTAAACTACTACAGCCACGAGAGAACACTTTGTCATGTATGTAGTTCACCCTGCCGAGTCATTCCTCACATGGTGCACGTATGGAAGTGGGGTGCTTGGGTATGGCAGTGGTATTCTATGCTCAGTCTTAGAGATTAGCAGACTCAAAGCTTAGAATCCTAGGTCTTCCAAGAAACCTCCAAATCTTGCTGTTTCCTGGAAGATAATGAAATGCTATCAGTGATAATTTTACATTTTTTTACAGGAAATTATATTACCTCATGAATGAATGGTTTTAAACAGTGAGCCATAGAAGCTAGGCTACAACATTTTCATTCTTTGGTATTGATGTCTCTGACACTAGGAATGCCTCGCCCACATTTGCTGTGTCCAATCTAGCATGGTGGGCATCTGCAGTCTTGGAATTTACTCTTAGAAGCCTCTAGGGACTTGTTTCCAATTTAATAAAAAAGGTTGATGCAATTCGATGCCAAACACGCGGTCGTGTATGTACTGTGGAATTAAAATTTGTTGAATAAAAAAAATTGAAGCTTCCTTCTTGAAGTGAATGATTTGATCACTAACATTGTCTTATGCCACTAAATTTTCAAGATTACACACCAGCATGTTTGGCATTTTCTCAAATGACATAAATAGGTGTCCTGTCCTGGAAGACAAGAAAACTTCTTAGTCTAGTCAGAATATTTGATCTGTTTAGCTTGGTGTGTCTGGTGTTGTAGCAATCAATTTGTAGCAGGCAGCCTTGGTGGCAGTGAAGAAAAATAAGAAAATAATAAAACTAAGACATAATAATGTTAAACACTTTGAATTTAAAGTCCTGAAGATTACACTTTGACATTTTAACATATAAATTTCTTTTCGACATAAAATATCATGATCAATAATTCCATAAAATCGTCACACTTTCCACTTGTTTGTCTATTTTAAGCGGACCATCCAAGAATCAGAATAGTTCAGCAAGAAACTAAGAACATACGTGTTGAAATATCAAGTCAAAGCCACTGACAAGGACTGTTAGATGCAACCAAGCATACATCGATAGATCATCAATTCATCCTTCCTTCAGGCTGTCACGTTTGATACTTTCAATCAGTAATGGAGTTTGCTCAATATGCATTGTTTTGTTGATCACTCTTCTCTTCTTGCTGCTATCTTTCAAGCGTCCATAATTTGCCCCCATCTCCATGCTGCTCTTGGGAAGAATGCTACACCTTTCATTCCAGGCACTCTCTCAAAGTATGGACCGATTGTGTTTTTACACCTGGGAATGGTACCAGCTGTGGTGATCTCCAGTCCAGAGCTAGCAAAAGAGGTACTAAAGACCAGGATGCAAATTTTGCATCGAGGCCATACTTGATCATGGGGGAGTACAACTTCTACAACTTCCGTGGTTTTGTTCCTATGGCGACTACTAGCATGAGGAAGCTTTGCGCTACAGAGCTCTTTACCGTCAAGCGCATTGAGTCGTTTCAAGGGGTGCGAACGAGAGAAATGCGTGGTGTCTTGTCTGCGCTTGTGAATGCGGCTGACTATCAGAAGCCAATCAACATAGGCACCTCCTGACAACATATGTCTTCAATGTTGTCATGCAGATCCTGATGAGCAAGCGTTTCTTCGAGATGGTGAGCATGAGGCTGAGATGAGCAGCGAGGCCAAGGATTTCAAGCACATTGTGTTTGAGATCACCGAGCAGATGCTTCAATTCCACATCAGTGAGTTCGTACCCGCGTTCATGAGACAGATTGACTGGAAGATCCCAGAGATATATGCGAGACAAGACAAGTTCTTGCAGAGAATTATAGACCACCACAAGGCTAGGCTCGATTCCGAGACCTCGCAGCCCATAGATTTCATGGATATCATGCTGCAAAGCTTGAAAAGCGAAGGAACCCGGGGAGAGGAATAGGTCAAAGCTATTGTCACGGTAACAAAGTCAATGCTTATCTTATAGTAATGTTGGCTAATCTCGAATTATGCAGGAGCTTTTATCTGGAGGAGATACCAGCGCTAGTTTGATCGAATGGACGCTGTTGGAACTCATGCACAATCCACTTATTCTTCAAAAGGCCCAGGAAGAGATTGACACCGTCGTCGGAAAGGAACGCCTTGTTGCAGAGAGCGACTTTGACAAACTGGAGTACCTTGGGCAATCGTCAAGGTCCAGCTCTGCTGCTGATTCACATGTCAGCCGAAGCGTGTAAGGTTGCTGGCTATGACATTCCCAAAGGAACTTCCACAATTGTCAATGGTTATGCAATTGGAGGAGGTCCGGCAGTATGGGAGGATGCATTGTGATTCAAACCGGAAAGGTTCCTTGGGAACTCGATCGACATAAAAGGCCAGGACTTTGAGTGTCATGTCACTGGGATTGAATGCTATTGCTTAACTTGATTCACGCTTTGGACTGGAGCTTTGTTCCTGGCAAAGGCATGGATTGTTACGAGCTCAAGGAACAAAGTGGGATTGTTCTGTGATTGGAAACAACAAGATTCCCAAAAGCTATAACTAAATTAAACTTTTATACTAATCATAAAAATGTGAGTTTGTTCCTATCACTAGAAGCTAATTTTAAAGATGAAAGGTCACTGAAACAACAGAAACAACAACCAGCAATTGGGAGTCTTGAGTCCATCTATAATGACTTGAAAGATTGTTGCATCAAGATCAAGTCAATTCAAGTGTGGCGCTCGTCAAAGTTGTGGCTGACTAGAATTCTCAACAACCAAGTCTAAAGAAGCAAGCATATAATTGCCAAGGGCTATTTGCTTCTCAAATCTCAAATCTTCACAAATTCAACATTCACGATATGGGGACTCTCCTCTATGTCATAATCTTGCTTGCTTTTGTCTATGTCTTAAGGAAATATTTGCTGCACCTTAAGCTGCCTCCATCTCCCTGGGGATTGCCCCTCCTTGGACACCTTCATCATCTTGCAGGAATTCCTTTCCTCTCATTGCATGCCCTGTCCAAGCAGTATGGACCAATTCTTTTCATGAAGCTGGGAACCGTGCCAGCGGTTGTCATCTCAAGCTCGGTTCTCGCCAAAGAGGTGTTGAGGTCGCAAGATCAGATGTTTGCTTCCAGGCCTTACATCCTCGTTGGAGACTATGGCTTGTACCACTTCCAGGGGATCGGACCTGTCCCTTACAACGATCACTGGAAGATGATGCGAAAGCTCTGCGCCACGGAGCTTTTCACTCCCAAGAGGATCGATTCGTTTCTCCCAATCAGGCTAGAGGAGATCACCGGCATGTTTTCGGCGCTTCGAGGTGCTGGAGCGCACAAAGCTGTGGACATGAGGAACATGTTGTCGATCTTCACCTTCAATGTCATGACCCGGATTCTCATGAACAAGAGATTCTTCGAGTACGGGGAGGATGAGGAGCACATCGATGGCGAGGCCAAGCAGTTCAAAGACATTGTGTTCGAGACAGCAGACCAGGGACTCCAGTTTCATATCAGCGAGTTCATCCCGCACTGGCTCCGGTGGATTGATTGGAAAGTCCCGGAACTGAAGAGGCTCCATGCGAAGAAGGATAAGTTTCTCCAGAACATCCTTGACCAGCACAAGGACATGGCATCGACAAAGGAACACAAGGACTTCATGGACATCATGCTGCAAAATCTAGAGCACAGAGGAGCAGCCAGGGAGGATTTCATCAAGGCAGTAGTCCTTGTAAGTTTCCCCACACAACTTGTTTTGGTCACCAATCTCAAAACCATTTTGATCTGCAGGAACTCACCATTGCGGGGACCGATACAAGCGCTTGCATTGTCGAATGGACCCTTCTGGAGCTCCTTCACAACCCCCGAGTCCTGAGTAAGCTCAAGGAAGAGCTTGATGCTATGGTAGGATCAAGTAGTCACATGGTCGAGGAGCCCGATTTCCAGAACCTGGACTACCTCAACGCGGTGATCAAGGAAGCTTTTCGTCTCCATCCACCTCTGCCGCTCCTCATTCCTCACATGTCGACTCAGACTTGCACCATAGCCGGCTTTCACGTCCCAAAAAATGCCTTCTCGTTTGTCAACGAATACCCATACCGAAAAAAAGCAGGGGTATGGGAAAAGGCGGATGAGTTTTGGCCGGAGAGGTTTCTTGGTAAGTCCGTGGATGTTAGAGGCCAGGACTTTGAGTTGCTTCCATTCGGATCTGGGCGACGGGCTTGTGCGGGAATGCAGCTGGGCTTGAAGACTGTCCAGCTTTTGGTGTCCAATTTGGTCCATGCTTTTGACTGGAGCTTTGTTCCAGGCAAACCGAGTGAAGATTACCTCCTTCAAGAACGTCATGGCACGGTTAACTGGATCAAGACCCCATTACAAGTTTGTGTCGTTCCTAGGACCAGATAGCCATTTATCTCTTCTGTTTAACTGAAAATAAACCAATCTTTTGGTACAATGGATTGAACTATCTCAGGGAAACTCGGGCAACAGGATCATGTTTCTTGGTACAGAGTGATGTTAATTGGGTGCTGGTAGTTCCCAATATTTTGCAGTGCTACTTCAAAACCCCTAAGTGATCCTCATTGCTTCCCTATGAAGCATGTAAGCATGCTTCACAGACTAGGCTCTCTTGAGCTGATCAAAGGGATGTTTCAAGAAGATTGTTACCACAGGCTAGAAAGTTGGCTAGCAATCATTCTTCCCCATCTCAGGTATGGCATCAAGCTTACCATTAGAGCAAACATAAATTGCACTCATTACAGAATTTTTTATATACATTTTCTAGGATCCTTCTCACTGTTCTGTATAAAGCATTGTTTACTTGACCAGAAAAAAGAATGCAAATCTCATTCACAACAACCATTGCAAGATCATAGAGAGTGTCTTGGCCACTATGAACGTTGCAATCGTAAAAGGCCACCATGGGGCAGCTGATCCAAAGCTGCAGTGTACCTCCACAATCCTGTGTTCTTTTTGGGCGCCAAAAAACACACTCTGGCAGTCTCAAACCCAGTTCCCGACCTGCCCCTGCATGCGAAAATATTTCACTCCCCCTACTCTTATAGTGTGGCTGTGCTGCATCAAAGACTAATTTCTCAATTAGAGTCTACGGTGGCGGGTTCGAGTCCAGCGACAAAACCGCCGGTCCGTGGCTCCAAGCTTGAGTCTTGGCTAAGTATGGCACCCATGTTGTATTCCAGCCAGAAAATGCAAAGGCAGAAAAGTCTAGGATTCAACAACAAGGAAGCAATATGAAAGTAATACTCCTGGGGTTGGATCTGAGCTCTCTCATGTTGGGAAGGGCTTTAAACCTTACCCTAAAGAAGAAAAAAGAAAGAATAGAGCTGGATCTCAAGGTATATGCATCTAACATGATTAGAGCAACAGATCTATAATACTATAGCTACTAGAGGTATTGCATGAGCTAATGAGGAGTGAGCATTGAAGCTAACTGGAGTTAATTGGAGGTGGTGGATTCCATTGTGTTCCAACACTCCCATTTTTTGGTGTGCCACCGACAAGAACAACTCCTAAATTGTGGCAATGATTAGTGAATGTGGGCTCTTGGTAAAGGCTTGGTGAGGCATCTATTCATGACTTGAAAGGAAATAAGCCTTAAAAGTTCCCTTGCAAATATATTCCTGGATAAATTGAAATCTATGATTTGTCCTTCCATGATGTCGTATGTCCTTTGTGAGAGCAATAACACTCTCATTGTCACAAAAAATTGGTATAATCTCTCACAAGAGATTTTTGTGTAGCCACAGAGCGTCCTGTGTCATTGCTATCAGCACCACACACTCTGCTTTAGCACAGTGATGTGCTGTTTCTTGTTGGACCATATGATCAATGCAAAGCCCTAATTAAAAAAATAATCTAATGTGGATTTGCAAAAATCTAGATCTCCAACGAGCATATCTGCTCCAATTGAACTCTACCTCTAGAACTTCTTCATAAACAAAGCCATAGTTGACAATATTAATAAGGTAGTGGAAAATCCTTTCACAGCAACCTAGTGTTCCCAACCTGGATTGTCTATGAACTAGGAGACAATTCTCACAAGGAATGTGATATCTTGATGTGTGCACACTATTAAGTATACTAGGCTGCCAACGGCTTATCAGTATGGAACACCAGTCATTATAGCATGGTGGTCCTTTGATGTGTTGAGCTATAAGGAGGTAGTAAAAAGTTGTTGGTGTTGGTATTAGCTTTGTGTTCTACATTTGAAAATAATTAAAGAGATCAGAAACATGACCATAGCAAACCTTGAAGACAACTACTCCTTAACAGCAATTGAAATAACCATATTCTCCATAATGATTAGTGTGTTATTTACATAGATCCTGATCAATATCATCTATTGTGCTCCATGTGAAGATAGCCTCTTCAATCTACATCATTTTGAGTGAAGTCAATGGGTAGTAAAAAGTTACCAATCTTTTCATACTAAATTCTTGATGCTTGCTTTATTTAATTTTTAGATGAGAATGGTCCAAAGTTGAGTTGAACTCAACTCAGCACAACTTAACTCAAGTCAATGTAGCCAACTAAAATTCTTATGAAAGAAATTTAAGCTGAAAAAATGACAGTTCTAATGAACTTTAGATTACTGAAAGATGTAATTACTTGGGGTCAAAAGTTTCTATTATGTTAAGTCATTTAAACAGAAAAAAATTCATAAGAACCTATCTTTCCTAAATCTGAACTACTTTTAAAATTGTCACATTTTTATTTTCTTGTAATTCATTAAAAAATATTTAAATAGAAGTTAAGAGAAACAAGTTAAAACATTTTGACAGTGGAATAGGAGTCTAATTTTGATTATCTTGGAATGCAAGTTTGATATAGAGCTTCTTCATCCTAGCATTGCCATCATTGCCAAACTTCCTTCTAGTCAAATGTAAGTGTTTGCTTCTTAAGGAGCTCCAACTCCTAGCAATTTATCTTTTATGCCTTTTGAACTCTTGCAAATATTGTTGGGTATATTCTTCCATCCTTTACACTTTTTGTAACAAGTTAAGTAGTGCCTCAAATGACACACTTCAATATCAAAGATACTTATAGATAATATTTATAAGAAGGATTTTTAAAATCATGTTACACTTATAAGCTGTATATCACATGAAATAAGGCTAATTATATTGGCAATCATAAATTGTTGTACTTGTGGACTTTTTTGGTAGTCACCCCTTTGCAATCCCTTCTAATGATGTGTTTAATGTAGATGTTGAAAGTGTTAACTGGATTGTCATCGATGTGTGGTGCCAAAAACTTCTCATCTTTGCTTACAGTTTATGTGATATAAACAATCCTTGTTATCATGTTCTCAAATACCTCTGGTAGTATTTCTCTTTTTTCTTCAAGAAAACATTGAAAAACTCTTGTATGGAAGCCTTGATTTTACAATATTATAAATCATGTCATATAAAGTTTTATTCACTACAAAAGTAATATATGTGTAATTGAGAAAAATGAAGTGTATAATAAGAAACTTACATTCATGAGTAGAAATTTAGGCTATAGTCTCTAGCCATTCTTTTGGTCTACAATTGTTTGCAATACATATTAGTTTTTTTAACTTTGAATACTTTATATATTGAATTTTGCTGTGCCATATACACCTCCTCCTCAAGATCACCCACCATTGAGGAATGCTGTGTGCACATCAAGTTGATAGAGCTCAAGATCAAGCTCAGCTGCTAAAACTAGAAGCAAGCAAATGGTGGTTAACTTAACTACCCGACTGTGATCTGAATTTGCGAGAAGCCACAAATGACAAATCTGGCTTTGAATTGCTCCACACTCCCATCTGCCTTTGTACTTCTTTTTAAAGAGCCACTTGGAGCTCATGACTTTCCTTCCTGGTGGCAATGGCATGAGAGTCCAAGTGTCATTTTTAAGCAAAGAAGAATACTCATCTTGTATCACTTCTTGCCACTTTTGAGCGTCAGGACTAGCAAGAGCCTCCATATATCCTTGAGGCTCAGGAAGGCTTTGCATTGCCCAGTAGAATCATTTCTGTCGTGGTTCCTGGGCAATGGCCTCAAGCACTTTGACTGAAAGCTTGGTTACACGTTCAGAGCGTCGTGGACCAAAGACCTGTGGAGGTGGAGGAGTCATCACTGGGTCAACTGAAATATTTCATCGCCTAAAATGTCGTCGACGATGGCAACAAGCGAGGGCTCAGCTGAAGAAGTGGGACTGCTGGTGGAAGCAGTAGAAGGTGCAAGAAGTGGCGTGTGAGGAGGAGATCTATCACCTCCAGCCACCAAGGGCACTGCTCGGCCAGGATCTTGTGGGCCTTGGTTGTTAGCTCCTCCTGGAGGAAGTACCTTTGAGGTCTCGATACAGCTCTTGCTCGTTGAAAATCACATCGCGGCTCACTACAAGCTTCTTTTGGAAGAGATTATAGAGCCGGTAGGCCTTGGCCCCCGAAGATGGTCTTCGTGCTGCGTGGATCGAGCTTGCGCCTGTTCGGATCAGGGATGCGGGCGTACGCACTGCACCCAAAGATCCGGATGTGCCCTCAATTTGGACGTTTCCCAGTCCAAACGTGATGCGGGATCAAGCCTGTGCTCCGGGTGGGCAAACGGTTACGCAAGTACACCGTCGTGTTCACTGCTTCTCCTCAGAAGCTGTGTGGCAGTCCGGAATGTAGAAGAAGGCAACGCACCATATCCAAGAGCGTCCGGTGCCACTGGTGTATAAGCAGCCGTGTACTGGTGAGAAATTCCTACCTCAGCTAGGAATTGGAGAAATCCTTGTGCAATGTATTCTCCTCCGCCATCTGTGCGTAGCACACTGATTTTTCTTCCTGTAAAATTTTCTGCCCAGCTTTTGAAAATTTTAAAGTTTTCAAAAACTTCGGATTTGTTTCGTACCAAACACACCACTGTGTATCGTGAGTGATCATCTATGAATGAAACAAAATACCTCTTCCCACTTAGGGAATTTACAGGAAGATAGCAACCTTCGCTGTGAATAAGATCAAGCACTGCTGTGGCCTGGTTTTCCAAAGGTCGGGGAGGAAAAGGATAGCATGCATGTTTGCCAAGTTGGCAAGTCCCAGATGTCCAGATGGAAATGCGATGCCATCCTTCTCATTTACATGCCCGAGACGAGCATGCCAAAGATGAATTGTCTCTTGGCCTTGAAGCGCTAGCATGTATGTCCCTGGATAAACAAGCTCTGCGTTGAGGCGATAGAGTGTATCGTACCTCACTGCCATCTGCTCCAAAAATAGTACATCCTTCTGCAAAGAATGTGAGCGAGAACCCTTGATCGGAGGCAACGCCAACCGAAAGGACAGTCTGGCCTGCACCGGGCACATAGTGCATGTTATGGATTTCCTTGAGAGATCCATTGGGCAACTTGACTTACACCATGCCACGGCCTTCAACGTCGAGAGGTCGCTTGTCTCCAACAAAGACTTGTTTTGGGGAAAGCAATTCGTGGAAAGTGTGGAATGCTGTACGAAGAGGAGTCATGTGGTAAGAAGCACCACTGTCCAACCAGAGGATGTCTAAACCAGATCTCGCTCTATGTGCCCCATCTTCCCGCAGTAGGTACACGGCCCCTTCTTTTTCTTGTTTCCGAAGCCAGGTGTTGGTGTCGCAGGAGCACTGGCAAGTCCGCGAGAATTCCCATGCTTCTTGGCATTTCCATTTCCTGACTTCTTGCCGATGAACAAAGCCTGATCACGAGCAGAATCTGAGGAGGTCGTGCTTGCTTTTCGCTCCAGAAGCTTGCGCTCTTCTTCCAAGAGATTGGAATAAAGCTCGTCTAGGGTCTTTCCTGGAACGAAGGAGAACATGGAGGAAGACGGTTGGAGTTCAGAAGAAACCGAATAGAGAAGGAAAGCTTTGGCATAATCGTCCGAGACAGGCGCGCCAGCCTCCTTAAGCTCTTGCATCTGCCAATGTACGATGCCATCGTGTCTGTTGGCTGCATCCGGAGAGAAAGGAACTTCTGGGTTAAGGACGATCTTGGCATTTGCTGCTTTCACAGCAACCTGCACCAAGGACTCCCAATTCTCGTGAGCGGTCTTCGAGAGATCCAGCAGATGGATGAACTCGTCGCCGAGTCCTAAGCCAATGACAGAGAGGGCTTGGCTTTCCACGCTGGCTGGAGAGCTGGTTCAGCTTCGGTGCCGTCCACGATTGTCCAGCAATCGTTTGCCATCAAGATGACCTTTGTTCTCTAGGTAAGTTTTCTCCTGTGAATTTGTGTAGTAGTTTCTCCCAGATGTTGGCTGGGGTTACAGCAGCGGAAGAAAATGCAATCTAAAGTTAGCGCTAGAAACAGAAATTTTATTGACGGGAGTGAGACGCGGGGAAAGTGCACACGCGCCTACACTGTGGGCAAAGCTGCTCGTGGCGTTTCGGAGAAGCATTAAGTCATGGTCACTCCGAAGGAGGTACTCTTAGGCTGATTGATAAACCATAAGTACGGAGATTCCATGAAATGGTGTTTAAGAAGCATGAATCCAAAAGGTATAATAAGCATGCCTGATGAGTGAGGCGCAACAGAAATACGTCTCTACCGTCGTTGTCGTCACCTTGCTTCATTGCCACACTTTTCCTGGCCCGTTCACTTCACTGGTTTGCCGTCAAAATGGTCCAGACTCAGAGTCAACTGATGTAGAAGGAAGTTGTAAAAGCTCCTCATTCAAAAATAAACGCAGGCCAAAACTTTGAAAGAAAATTAATGTAACTCAAGGATGAGACTTGATAAACTCCTCACTAAAAGTCCGCAGCTCTGCAGCCAACTTCATGTCCTTGGCATGAGGGGTGCAATCCGCTTCGTTGCAATCCAAGTAGTACTTTCCACTCACGCCCTCCATGCAAGGATGGACCGCAAGAAGCATGGTTGTAGCAGCGCCCTGAAAGAAATCACAGCTTTAATCCAGAAACGTAGGCTATGATATGTTTGTACCTGCGGGATGGATTTGCAAAGTGGGCTCGCAAGGAAGAGAAGCAGCTCTGCACAGCAGCACAAGTCGATCAATCTCAATTCTTTTCAGATACTAACTTACTAGCTGAAGTCTGGTTGAAATCTCTTCCAAGGTTCGTCTTGATAGTTCCAGGATGAAGTGAATTTACAGTCACGTTGGCACCCTTCTCCTGAAATGGAAGATCATCAAAATTATGTCTGGGAAAACTCGAGCACAAAAACTTTGAATCTATGGGCACCTTCAAGCGGCTTGCTAACTCCCTGGTATGCAGTATGTTGGCCAGTTTTGATCTTCCGTAGCTAGTAATCCATTGGAAGCTGCACGACGAGAGTTAAAGAAAATTCATTGGAAGATTGCAAGGAAAACCCAAATGCTTCCTCCTAATTATCAATTAAAAAACTAACCTGTTCTTATCATTCAGCTTGTCAAACTCAATCCCGCCTTTTGGAACATATCTGTGTCCTTCAGACGCCACCATGACAATCCGACCTTGCACTCCAGTTTGAGATGCAGTCTGGATCATCTTGTCCAACAGCAGCTCAGTGAGCAAAAACGGACCTGGATCATCATCCAAAGAGTGAAGGTTTTTCTAACAGACAAAACTTGAACACCATACCCATATGGTTTGTCGCGAAATCGAGCTCCAAGCCATCCGGTGAGAGCTGGAAGTTATTGGCCGTCATCCCAGCATTGTTTCTGCATTGATCCATGCATTTTGATCAGAAACACTAACAGGAGTGACTCACATGAGGATGTGGAGCGGGAGATTTAGAGCGTTGAAGTCGTCGACAAATTTCCTGACCGACTTGAGAGAGCTCAGATCCAACTCAAGAACAGTGACCCTTGCATTAGGGAATTCGCGTTGGATCTTGGACTTGGCTGCTTCAGCGTTCTGTAGCTTCCTGGCTGGGATAACAACGTGTGCACCGTGCTTGGCGAGAACTCTGGCAGTCTCAAACCCAATTCCGGAGGTAGCCCCTGTAGCTTGATAATGAGAAATCGAAGCAAACTACCGATGGAATCGGCATACCTGTGACGATTACCACTTTGGATTCCAGAGAAATCCCCTTTGCAACTTTCTCGGCTGTAGCTCCCGATCCAAAGCCTGTAGCGCCGCGGTATCCTGTGAAGTAGCTTATCACGCCCATGATTCCTGGATTGCTTGCACAGACTTGTGACTTTGATCCCGAGACGGCTGCTTAAATACATTCCTGGCCAGCTTGACTGACGCCCAAATGTGACATCCACGAAAGCGCTTAGAGAAGATTCTGAAACATTCGGTCAATTTGGAATGGTGGTTGATTACAAGGTATTATCAATCAATAACCATGACGATCCATTGCTCAAACAACACGTCGACTGACGTACATAATGTCCATGCATGACCTTTGTTCACCGCGCAAACGCCACTTTGATATCTCAGCGTGTGAAAAGTCGCCTGGGCGCCATTGCTCGAATTTTCAGCCTCTAAAGAACATGTCAATGTCAAACCCAGCGAGCGAATGAAAACCGTGATATATAAATGGTTCCTTGTGGTGCCAAAGTCATTGACAAAGCTACATCTCGAGATCGATCAGCAAAAGAAAGCATGGCTCTTTTTCTCCCAGCCCTGTAAAGGTTCTTCAAGGATGATAGCGATACTATCGATATTCTTGGTCGTTCTATTTGCTCCCGGCCATGTCCACCCCAAGTGTATAGCGGGCGAGCTGTGCTGGCCAGACGCACAGACCTGGGCATCCTTCAATCGCTCCGTGGGAGGAAGAATGATCAGCGTGGCCCCTCCAGCATCGCCATGCCATGATCCAAACTACGATGAGCGAGCCTGCAATGCTGTGAGGAGCGGCTGGAACAGTCCGTTCTGGAGGACCGATCAACCGGGTGCGCTGCAACGGACGAGCTGGGAATTGTTTGGGGAGCAGCGCTGCCTGATCTCCTCCAACAGGACCGCCGCTTACTTCCAGGGTGCGGTCCCGGTCTACGCGATCAACGTTACTCGGGCGGCCCACGTCCAAGAGGCCGTCAAGTTTGCGTCCCGGCACGACTTGTGCATCGTGATAAAAAACATGGGGCATGACTTCCTCGGGTGGAGCACGGCGGTGGGAGCTCTCAGCATTTGGGTGCACCACCTCCAGAAGATCCAGTTCCACAAGAGCTTCAAATGCGGCCGTGGTAGTGACCGTGGCTACTCAGCAGTGACGGTGGGAGCTGGAATTCAGTGGGAGGAGCTCTATTGGCAAGCGTATCAATGAAAGATGATCCTGGCTGGCGGGGGATGTTCCTCGGCTGGAGCAGCTGGCAGATACCCTCAAGGTGGCGGCCAAAGTTTCCTTTCCCCGCTAATCGGCTTGAGCGCTAGTACGAGGTGGTAACTGCGGATGGTAGGCTTGTCAAAGCAAATGCGTGCCAAAACACGGACTTGTTCTGGGCTCTCCGGGGTGGCGGCGGAGGAACATTCGGAGTTGTGCTCTCAGCAACGCACAGGACTTTTCCAGCTCTTGACAGCCTTGTCTTCGCTCCTCACAACTTCAGTGCCCCTGATACCACCACCTTTCAGGGGCTCACTCTGTTTACGAGGTTGAATCCCTCTCTCTTCGATGCCGGCTGGTCCGGTTACAAAGAGTTTGTTATGCTCTCTGCTACATCTTTGAAGCAGGCTTGTTGTAATGGACAAGCCTGCTTCAAAGATGTTGCAGAGAGCCAAACTCTTTGTAAGCTGAGAATGACGCAAAGTGTTGCCGCATGCTCTCACTATGTAAGCCATCAATGAAGTAGGACTTGTTCTGATCTAGATCTTTCGTTGGAACATGACTAATCAAGCAAGTAAGCTTCTCAATATAGTCCCCAAGTATCATTTTCCCTTGTTGGAAATGTCGAAGTTTTGTACGAGCATTCTCCATGTCATAATGAGGGGCAAAATGTAAACGGAAAGTAGCCTCAAACTCATCCATGGTAGACACTGGTGGTTTTTTATCCGCAATACGAGACTCCTCAAGCCAATTCCATCATCAAAGACCCACATCATGCAAAACCATTGGAATAGCCACTAAAGCCCCTGCATTTGGAGTTTCCCTAGCAGCCAAGAACTTCTTCACATTGGCTAGCCAAGCAAGACACTTGTCCACACCACCATCACTGAAAAAAGTTGAAATCTTGAGTCAATCTACCAAAGAAGGCTTACTTGGAGTACTACCTCATCTAGCCTCGAGTGCCTCAACACGCCCACGCATGGTACCCATCATGCCATGCATCTCGTCTTGCATCTCTTGCTGATTTCGATTAAAGGCTCGCAACTCGTGAAACTCATCCAAATCTCCACAGCTTCATCGGCACCATCGCTGGCACCACCATCGACAATAGGATTCCAGCGTTCAGCTTGGTCGGCCATCGCAATCAACTCCTTTGATACCAATGTTATTGGAGCCAAGGACACAGCCAATTTACTGGCGTCTATTTTGGTTAAATTATGCGGAGGAGCAAGAAGTTCAATGACAAGTCAAGGAATTACTTGAGTTTGGATTTATTCAGCCAAATAAATCCCTGTTTGGTGCTCCGGTCTTGCTTGTGAAAAAGGAGGACAGTTCAATGCGGATGTGTATTGACTACTGCCCCTTGAACAAGAAGACAGTGAAGGATAAGATGCCGATGCCACATGTGGATGATATTCTGGACAAGCTTGGTGAAGCAAGAGTGTTTACCAAGATTGATTTGAGGAGTGGATATCATCAGATTGCAATGGATGATGCATTTATCTCCAAGACGGCATTCGTTGTTACGAAAGAATGTGCCATTCAAGTGAAAGCAGCCACAAGAGGAGAGTTTTGTGGTGCTGAAATGATTGTTGAGCGAGACTCCAGTGCTTTGCATTGTTGATCCATTAAAACCTTACGAGGTGACATGCGATGCGAGTGGTTATGCATTAGGAGGAGTTCTCATGCAAGAGTTGCATATGAGAGTTAAACTTTGAATTCTGCGGAGCAACACTATTCCATATATAAGCAAGAGTTATTCTCTATTGTTCATGCTTTGCAGACATGGCGGCACTATCTTTATGGTGCAGTGATGGTGGTGTTGACAAATCACAAACCACTTGTGTATCTTTTCACACAGAAGGAGTTGAACACTAGGCAAGCTCGTTGGATGGTTAAACTCATGGAGTTTGGGGAGTTTTCTATTGAGCATCGTCCAGGAAAATCAAATGTGGTGGCAAATGCTTTATCTTGTGTTTGTCATGTGATGATGTTACAAACAGGATTTTGTCATCATTTGAGTAAGGTGGTCAGCAAGTTTAGGCAGTTGATTGAGCATGCTCAGGCTCAGGATGCTGAGGTGGCCTCTTTACGAGAAGAGATGGAAGCCCCTTTCTCGTTGGTGGATGGGATTCTCTACTACAATGGCCGTATATATTTGCCACGGGTGGATGCATTAATTACTTAAGTTTTATTCCACTATTATGATCGTCCAGAGGCCGGTCATTTTGGGGGGAAGAAGACGTATGAGCGCAACTTTTATTGGAGGAATAGGAAGGCTGATATCCTCAAGTATTGTAAATCATGCGAGCTTTGTCAGTGGGTTAAGGTGCCACGGGAGAAGCTGGGGGGACTTTTGCAACCTTTACCTATTTTTCAGAGTCATTGGTGTAGTATCTCTATGGATTTCATCACTTATTTGCCATGAACATAAAGGCAAAAGAAGCAAGTATGGGTTATAATGGATCGGTTGATGAAGTATGTGCGGTTGTTGGCTCTTCGGAATACTGACACTTCCTCAGACTTGGCTACAGTTTACTTGGAGAAGGTTTTTCCTGATTTTGGTTTGCCAGAGGACATCATTAGTGATCGAAATTCAAAGTTCACCAGTGGATTTTGGAAAAGCTTTGCATAGGCTATGCAACTGACTTTGAAACTCTCGAGTGGAGATCATCCTCAGACGGATGGGCAAACTGAGCATGTGAATCAGGTGGTGGAGGATATGCTACGTTGTAGCATTGGTCAAAGGCAAGGACAACAGGATTTATATCTTCCGTTGGTGCAATTTGCTTACAACAATAGCCAACACAGTGGAACCAAACTAAGTCCTTACTTTGCCATGTTTGGAAGGCATCCTCGAACAGTAGTGGAGTTGGGATTGCATTTGAGTAAGGATGTTCAAGATAAGCTTGATTCCTAGGCAACTGATCTAGCCACAAAACTTGATGAGATTCTAGTGGTGTGCAAACAAAATTTACAAGTAGCTCAGGATAGAGTGGAGAAGTTTGCCAATGAGCATCGCCAATTCCGGGAATATAAGGTAGGTGATTTCGTCTTTGTGCGAGTGATCTTTCCATCAAGTGAGCAGCAGAACACCTTGGTGCCTTTATGGACAGGGAAGAGTGATAAACTTTCCTATCGATATGCTGGTCCATATGAAAAGCGGCTTATCAGGTGTGGCTGCCAGCTGGGGTGAAAATTCATCCGATATTTTATATCAGCCAGTGTAAATGTGTACTATCTCAGAGTGACGGGCCCAATGCCTCCTTGATGTATATGGCTGTGGAAGATAGACTAAGAGCTTGAGTAGAGTTCCCTCAAAAGGGTGATCACCAATAAAATTTGTCCTTGGGACAAGGACTTTGTTGGGGGGGGGGAGAATTGTTAGGCGCCAACTTTGACCACATGGTTAATGTCAGTCAAAGAGAGGCTCAAGGATATATTAAGGGTGAGGGACTTAACCTACCCTAGGGCTCACAAGGGAGCGGCGGTGCAACGGAGCTTTTGAGGTAGCTTCAAGTGAGGAACCTCAAGAGGTGGCGTAGCATAGTCTAGGGCAACTAAATCTTTGTCTTTTTGAGCTGGATCATAACATGCTTGGGCCTCAACAACTTGGGAGTCTTGGATGTCTTCGCAACGAGGCTGATCCCGAGATCACTCTTCAACCACGAACAAGACCTCCTCCCAAAGGCCATGATGCGTGTCATGACCGAGCTGCAAGTTCTAGCTACATATGCAATCCTAGGGAGCGGAAAAGTGCGAGAACCCCAAGACAGCACTGTGAATCCAGCATATCGCGACGGACTGTGGCTGCTCGTATTGCCCCTGACTTGGTGGGACAATGCGACAGTGGCGGAGATGAGGGCTGCTGCGAATCTAGTGTTGCAGGCGAACAAGCTCTTCATCAATCTCACGCCAGGCTCCGGGACTTACGTGAACGAGGCCGATTACAACGAGCCCAATTGGCAGCAATCCTTCTTTGGGAAGAACTATCCTCGCCTGTACCACATCAAGAGCATGGTCGATCCTACCAATCTCTTTACGTGCCATCACTGTGTGGGTAGCGAATTCAACTGAGAATCCAGTGAAAAACATAGCGATTCCATACAAATGTTGAAATGTTACAGTAGCGATTCCTTGGTTTCGTTCTTGGGCTCTGGATTGCCACTCTAGCAGCTGCCAAGACGGTGAAGTGAGACGGTGAGTCGATCCTGTCCACCTGCATTTTTGAGGGATTAAGCAACGATCTTGCCAATTCCAGTCAAGGCCAGCTGGAGGATGGAAGGTTATGTATGATTGGAATGGGGAGGATACCTGTGGGGATGGAGACACGGCATTGTGGCCGGAATCACTTGTTCCTCCCCAAATGACAATGGCTATCAAGTGGTCACGGAATTGTGAGTTTTAATACCTCTTATCACTTTGATCGTCACTTTCTTCTTTCTTTCCAGGGAGCTCTTTCAAGTGTCGATCATTGGAATGTTCCCGATCGGTGTCACAAATTTTCTGGATCTCAGGAAACTGTGGGTTGGTGTGTGTTGGTTTTCGTTTACTGAGTTCTTGCGTTCTTCTCTGGAAGGGACTTGCATGGCAACAAACTCACCGGACTGATTCCTCCTCAAATAGGACAGACGCTTGTAACCCTGTAATGTTATTGCTAGCGGTCTGGCCGAAAAATTCTCGACTTATTTTGATTTTTTCTTTGCAGGAACTTGAGATGGAACAAGCTGCAAGACGCCATACTTGTTGAGATTGGGCAGCTGAAGAAACTACAAAACTTGTGAGTAGAGTTTCGCTTCTGTTCTAAGTTCTTTCTTTCATCGTTTCTTCTGTCAGGTTTTAAGATTTAACAGCCTTAGAGGACCTATACCGAAGGAGCTCACGTATCTGCAGGAGCTTCGATACGTCCATCTTCACGAGAACAAGCTTATCGGCCGGATCCCTCCGGAGTTTGGAGAACTTCCTTATCTCCGACAATTGTAAGCTTCAGTTTCATCCATACAGACATATTTTCTTATATTATTCTCTCGCAGGGATGTCAGCAACAATCATCTTGTGGGAACCATCAGAGAACTGCTAAGAAGCGAACAGAATCGTGCTAGAGATGCATTTCCATCTCTCCGAATTTTGTAAGCTTTCCTTCTTTTGTGCTTGGAGTCTTAAGCTCGACGTCCCCACAAGTACCTAAACAACAATTACCTCACCGGAGGAATACCAGCAGAACTTTCGTACTTGCGCAATCTAGAAATCCTGTAAGCTCGACGCTAGAGTTGTCCTCGCCTGCTGATTCCCCCCGTGGCTATGCAGGTACTTGTCTTACAACAAACTTACAGGTCCGGTACCGGACGCAATCGCAAGCATCCCGAAGCTAACCTACCTGTGAATTTTTCTCACGCAAAAGCTCGTTTTTCTCGTAGATACCTGGATCACAATGCTTTGAATGGCCGACTGTCGTCAGCCTTCTACAGCCATCCGAGCCTGAAAGAGATGTACGTTGGCTCTTTTGCTTGATCATCGATGTAGTAATATCCAAGCGTTTCTTTTTCCAGGTATATTGAAGGGAACCAATTCAGCTCTTCCGCCAAACCAGTTGGTATACACAGGACAATGGAAGTATCCGATGCCGACTTCATTTTTTAGAAGGAAAGAGTTTTATTCATGCAGTTTCTGGTCCACGATTACGCTAGAAGTTGCCAAGGAGAGATTCAGGGAGATCAGGGAGAATATTACTTTTTCACGTGCTAGTGAGTTCGATTCCCGGTACCAGTCACTTTTCAGCCGTGAAGCGTTTCATGCTGTTATTGTGGTTTGTCTGAGACTGCAGAATGCATCCCTGGACAATCTATCATGCATGAGAAAAGCGTACATGGAATATGAGGAGATTAAGGATGCTAGCCAGCTTCTTAGAAGGATGCCTGAAATGATTCCAGCATAATGCGAGCCGTGATTTCATTGATGTAGTCATGGTACTCTCGATACCGTACTATTACAAACAACTTATAGATTTTGTTGGCATGGATGAAAATTTCCACAAAAGTATGGTGATCCTGCAGCAATTTCAACTCTCTTTGAGTTTACACTGAAAACACCAATGACCCTTGCAGGATTTGTGTACTGCTTAACTTGCTTGATCGTTGTATTGTCGTCTCTGGGTGTTGCTATTGATCCGTTTGAGACGGTGATTCCCGACTGGGTCGATTTGTTTCATTTCCCGCGACCTTCACTTCGGGTAGCTTACGGATCGCAGAACGTGACCGAAAGGCAGTTTTCGCCGGCTGAAGTTCTTCTGCAGCCCAAGGTGAGCATCACGAATGCTGGGAATAGAGACCTTTTTACGCTTGTAATGGTATCCTCCCGGTCCACAAATTCCCATCTTGAGGAACATTCTGCACTGGATTGTAGTTAATATCCCAGCTCAATCTACCAGTAAGCTCTTATTCCAAAAGAAATCAGGACCGCTTGAGTACATTTATAATGAATTTGCAGATGCATCAGAGCAAGGAGACCATCTTGCCCCTTACTTATCTCCTACACCAGTTCAGGGAGTCCACCGTTATTATTTTCTTCTCTTCAGACAGGTGAGAAAGACTTTGAGGAGTCCTCACATGACTTGAACATTGTGATTGCAGAAGAAACAAATTCATGCTGGAAGTCTGGCTGGAAGTCTTATCAGGACTCTCTTCAGTGTCCGTGTGTTCACAGAGAATTATGATTTGGGTTATCCTGTAGATGGAGTCTTCTTCACCTCCAGAGTGATTATATAACTGATGAACTCGTATGAATAAATTGAGTAGACATGATCCCAATATCCTCTCCTCCATTGCAAGCATATATGACTTTCCATCCTCCACCTACCTTGAGTCATAAGATCGTCACTTAAAGTTAACTATATCAAGAATGTGGGTGGAAATTATCAGCTCACGCTCGCTTCACCATAGCACCCAGATTGAAATTTTTTCTTTCTTTTATTTATTGTGTTTCAGAATATTCTCAGAATATTATTAATGTATGGCTGGGAAAAATTTAATAATTTCTTCTTCCTATGGATTCCCGTGAATGATCTCCTTGTCGTGAGTGTCTGGGAGGATCCAAGTTGTACATGCATACTCCACGTTCAAGAGTGAGCCTGGAAATTGCTGAAGAAGGGCGTGTTGTTACCAGTTCAGCTGCGGCTATCGACCTTGTTGAGTCGGAGAGGGTCGGTCTTGGGATTAGCGAGGATGAATTGGTTTGGTTCCTTAAAGTCTTTCCACTTAGGTCTCTCCTCGAGCAGCTTACCACACTAATAGCAAGGTATATACTATAGTCTAAGCATTCTCACACGGGAATGCCTAGAAACTCTCAGCTTGCTTACACCACAAGCTGCTAGAATTTTATGAGAAAGGTGGTACAAGATTGATCACAAGGATAAAGTACATCAGTGCCATGGCTAAGGATTTTATTGTTGTGACTGAGTCATCAAAGGGTATGAGCTACACTATCAGAATCTACGAAAATCCATCTTGTACCTATTCAGATTTTACACAAAAGGAGAACAGAGGAAAGGTATATTTAGCCTGCAAGCATATCTATTACATTTTTATGCAGAAACCAAACCAAGATCCTAAGATCAACCATCACATCCACCAGACAAGCCTTACAATTGCAGAGTTTGATAAGTGTTTCTAGATTACTTTTAGTGTTCAGATTTATATTTATATTTGTATTTTTTTGGTTGAATTTACTTGGAAATATAAATTAAATCAAAATTTGAAAAATGAAAAGATGTTGGTTTGGGACAAACCAATGTTTTTCTTGTGTTTGAGAAGCCATGAGCTCATGAGCTCAAAACCTACCCAGGCTCTATGGGTGGTAGACTCCTTGACTTAGTATCTATGGTTAACAATGAATCTTGCTCACCAGAAAAAGTAATATAATAATCTAGCTTGTGTAGAAGGCATGAAAAATGTTTGCAGACCCTAGGCACTATATAGAAGATTGCTGGTTGTTGTCTTTGACTAGAATGAGTGCAAACCAACATAAAGTGTCCAATATGCAATAAATGCTAAATCTTGGAAAATGCAATGCACTAAAGAACTTCAATTCGTATGAGAAGAAAGTACCCAAATGGGATAGCCCCAAATAAAAGAGTATCCTAATGTATACTTCCCCTGCTAATTCCTCATAAAAAAAAAAGAAATCTAGCAAAAAAAGGGGGAAAAGACACAAAAGATGTTATGGAAATCACTTG